CTGATGTCCCCGGGGAATTGTATGACATGGGTGCCCTTACATACACACACACAATACACTCACACACATAAAAAAATAAACAAATAAAATATTTTTAAAAGAATTACTTTGGAACTGAAAAGGGGCTTTGAGGGCACTAGTTGGCATTGCTGATCTGTCAAAAGGTTATAGGACCATAAAGCTTAAAAGGCTTGCGAGACAATTTGGAGAGAGGAGGGACTGGTTATTTCAGGAGGTTGAAAAGCCAGACTGTGACATCACTTGGAGTGGAGAGGTTCTAGATGGTAGGATACAGGTGTCCCTGTAGGCAAGTTTTGTTGTAAATAGTGGTGGCTGATATCCCTGACACAATGAATAGCACCTGTAGGTAAATGGGCTATAATATCTAAGATGTCAATCCTAGAAGGCTAAGTATGCTGTGGCCAACGTCATAGGCCAGAATTAAAATAAGGAAGGGGCTACAGTAGCTAAGAGTGTCCAATCCTATCTTGAAAAGCAGTCTAGGAACTGTTCCAGCCAGGAGGTCTCTAAATGTAAAGGACTGTCAGCAGGAGAGTCCTGGCTATTAGGAAAAGCAAATCACCTTGAAGGGAGACTGAACACATTGGGCCCAGTAAAGGCAAAGGAGTTACCTTCCTAGTAGAGTGGTTGGTTCCTTAAGACAGGGGTACATGAGTAAACAGTCAATAACTAGGCCTCCAGTACAATACCACCGCCACATCTGGATTATTGTATAGAAATAGAAAAGGGGATTATAACTTGAGGTAAGTGACAACCTCAGTCCAAGAATAGTCTACAAGATCTACAGGAGAAGCAGGTTTCTGATGGATTCTCCAAACTGAGTTGTGTCCTGTAGGGCATCAAGAGAGTAAGAGGAGCTAGCTTGTAGAATTATATCATGGAACTCGGAAAGGTGAGTCTTGCCTACTCATTAGGGTCTAGAAGTGTCTTTGGATCAGTTTGACCTGAGTCATTAAACATACCAGAAGAAGAGACAAAGGCCTCTAAAAGGCTCATTAGGAGCAGGCCATTTGAGCTTTTACATGAGCATCTAAATTCTGGACAGATGAGTCTATAGTGACAGTCCTTGTAACTTGACTATAGTTGAAGACATATGGAAAACTTGATAAAGTCCAGTCTAGAAAGGTTCTAGTGACCTTTTGTCCCATGGGAGAATGTTAAGATAGACCCAAGTGAATTGATGTGAGGAGGTGAGCCTGAGAAGGAGGAGTTTGGCTTGGATTCGCATGTATTCTGGTCTTTAGTGATACACACTCAGAGAGATAATGAATATTTGGATGTAGTATAAGCTCTGTCTAGAGACAGGGCCTACTGTAAAGGTCTTCAAAGATGCTGAGGTAGGTTTTAGACTTGGGAATAATAAAGGATCATCATAAAAGTGTAATTGTCAGAAGAGTAAATCAACAGTTTTGAGTCTCCAGTGTGAATCTAATGAGAGTCCTCTTAAGAGTTAAATTGGGGGGTGGGGGACTGGAGAGAGGGCTCAGAGGTTAAGAGCACTGACTCCTCTTGCAAAGGACCCAGGTTCAGTTCCCAGCTTGCCAACTAAAAACCATCCATAACAACAGTTCTAGGGGACTCGATACCCTTTCTAACCTCCACAGGCATTGCACAACCTTGATACACTTACATACATGCAGGCAATACACTCATACACATAAAATAAAATTTAAAAAATAAAATATTTTTAAAAGAATTAAATTAGAGCTGGGCGTGGTGGCACATGCTTTTAATACCAGCACTCAGGCGGCAGAGGCAGGCAGATCTCTATGAGCTTGAGGTGAGCCTGGTCTATTTAACCAGTTCTCATGTGAATGTGAAATAGCAAATAATCAGTAGTTAGTTACTTAGTGTGTACAATGGCATATGAAAACTCAGGGAAGACTCAAGTAAGAGACAGAGTGAAGAGGACAGGTGTTTACACCTCTGGGTAGAACACGGGAACACACGTGTAACAGCTGTAATTGCAAATGGATATAGATGCCTGTGTATATATTTGAATTCCTCGTGTGAAGGCATGTGAGCGAAATCTGTTTGTCAATCACTGCCCCCCCATACATACACACAAGCATAGGTTCCCTATGCTGGACAAGCTGTAAAAGAGGAGGGGGTCTGAGGGCTCCTTCAGGGTTGATCTGACAACATGACAGACATGTTTTGAAATGAACCACAATGTCTGAAATTTTCCTATGTTGGTGAAACAGGGTTCCATTAAATCTGGAGAGGCTTGGCCCCCAAATATGTGACCAAGTGAAAACTTAAGGCTTTTCCCATTGGGAGAAAGAGGGAGCAACAGCTTGTTTTGATTTTTATGTTTTAAATTTTTGTTTATCATTAGTGTGTGTGTGTGTGTGTGTGTGTGTGTGTGTGTGTGTGTGCTCGTGTGGGCGCACAGACCCATAAGCACCACACATGTGAAGGTCAGACTTTATAATAGAGTCTGTCCTCTCCTTCCACCTTTACTTGATTTCCAGATATCAAACTCGGATTGCCAAGCTCTGGCAGCAAGGACCTTCACCCGCTGAGATATCTCACTAGACCAAAAGCTCATTTTGTAGCAGCTTCAGAACCATCCATCCTTCTGGGGTCCTGTGAAGTCCCAATCTAAAGCCTGTGGAGTCCCCTGTGAGGTATGCTGAGGGAAAGGTAGAGTGGCACTGGGAACTGAGGCAGCCTGTGGTAGAAGCTGAACTCTCTGTTTGGTCTGTTGGTGGTCTTGGTTCTGACCCAGAGAAATATCAGAATGGTCATTCTGGTGGGCCTTGCAAAGTATAAGGGCCACCTGAATTGTACACCTGATTGTCTCTACTAGGGTCTCAAGGGCACATTTAATAGGGTATTATGGGCAGTAAGGAAGCCTCTTTCTTTCCATATGGCTGCATGGCTGTGGGTCACACATGACTACAAGCACCAGCAGAGTATATATAAATACTGACTCATTCCTGCTCCCAGCTAGAGAGCCCTAGTCAAGGGAATGTGTTCACCTTTAGGCTGCGATAAAATTACCTAGAAAAGGCCCAGATCCCATGACCTCAGTAAGGCAGCAGGATTTAAAGGGTGGCAAGGTTTTAGAGTAAGCTCTGGAGTGTGTAAGAAGTGAGTCTAGTACTTGTTGATTTTGTTATCTGACACCCAGTGGAAGGCCCTTCACTTGAGAACTTTAAGGATCTTGTAAGGTGTTTACATTGGCTGAAGCTGGTTATTTCAATAACTGTCTTTGTAGGAATTAAAGTATCAGGTTTCAGATGAACCAGGTGATGTGAGAATCCTGGTTGGGGGGGCAGTAGAATTTTGCTTTGTAATGTTAGTTATTTTTGGTTATACTTTTCCTGTCCTGTTTTTAAGACCATGTAGGTGGTCACAAATCAACCTCTTTTTGTCTGATCACTGAGCCTAAAGCTACTTTTAAGGACTTCAGAGGAGATCTCTGACTCCATTAGTTGTACCATCTGTTGCTCTTGGAAGCACTGAGGCTGTTTCCCTCTGTAATGAGCCACCCTCCGCTTTGCCTCTTTTTGTCTGATCACTGAGCCTAAAGCGACTTTTAAGGACTTCGGAGGAGATCTCTGACTCCATTAGTTGTACCATCTGTTGGGATGGGTCAGGTCTTGCTCATAAGGTGACTTCTCTTGGAAGCACTGAGGCTGTTTCCCTCTGTAATGAGCCACCCTCCGCTTTGCAGAATGCATGCCAGCCATAGTCCAATCTCTGGGGTCTCCATGGTCTCTCTAACCAAGAGGACAGGTGAGTTTCAGGAGCTGTGAACCCTTTTTCAAGGTGTCCCATTGTCCCCTGGTGTTCCTGGAACCTAGTTGACCTGGGGGCAAGGACCAAAGTACTGGTTGTCATCTTAGCCCCATTATCCCCATTGGTCTTGGCCTCCAAGAATGCCCAGAAGAGGCCAGTTACACCTTCTATCTCCATGGTCTCTCTAACCAAGAGGACAGGTGAGTTTCAGGAGCTGTGGACCCTTTTTCAAGGTGTCCCATTGTCCCCTGGTGTTCCTGGAACCTAGCTGACCTGGGGGCAAGGACCAAAGTACTGGTTGTCATCTTAGCCCCATTATTCCCATTGGTCTTGGCCTCCAAGAATGCCCAGAAGAGGCCAGTTACACCTTCTTGAAGAAGAAACAGTGGGGTTTCAAACCCAGCCATTACATAACAGTGAAACCTTGACACAGATTGCTAAATAAATTTTGGGGGGGGGTCTTTTTTTGAGACGTTTCCCTGACCTCCCCTCTCCCACTCAGTTGGCCTGGAACTCACTGTAGATCAGGCTGGCCTTGAACTCACAGAAATCTGCCTGCCTCTGCCTTCCAAACGGGACTAAAGGCATGCGCCGCCACGTCCTGTCGTTAAATAAATCTTGACTCTGCTCGGACTGAACACCATTCCCCACCCCCACACATAAAGGAAAGGGAAGCCTCGAAGTGGGAGCTGAGTCATTTCAAGCCTGAGAATACGAAAGGTTCCTCTAAGAAGTTGCTTGTTTTGACGGACATGCGCACATTAAAATCCCAGGTGGGGTGTGTTGCTCCAGCAAATCTTAGCGCTAGAGAGGAGGAGTGGGAGGATCTCTGCGTTTTGAAGGCCAACCAGGCTAGCCAACATCAGTGAGTTCTAGACGGGATGAAAGACCTCTTGACACCCACCCACCCCATGCTGACTGCTGCATCCACATGCAAGCACATAGCAGTGCAGGGTTTACTAGAAAAGCACAGCTTGCAGACGGGATAGCTAACAACTGTTTTCAACTCTGATTTCTGAGGGGGCTGAACTTAGATTTTTCTAGTGAGGGGAAAATAAAAAGGACCTGTCTGAAGGTGGAGCTAATACCGAAAGGAAAAGACAAAAGAAGAGGGGGACGATTCTGGAGGACACATCCTGAGCCAGAAGCGCTGGGGAGATAAGGGAAGTGCAGAGTTAGGGAGGCAAGGAGGCCGGAAGGGAGGGGGCGGTGCATCACAAACTCTCTGAGTCTGGGCACGCTCACTGTGAGTCTGGGCTTTCCCGCTCGATCGCAGCTGGTTGTGGCACCGGCCAGAGGAACCAACTTTATTCTTTGCCTTTCGATCCAGTTTTGGCTGCCTAGGCTCTGCGAGGACGCAGCAGGTGAGTGCGCGAGGTGATGAAACCCGGGTGATGTATTTCTTGGGGACTGGAGGCCGCCGAACTCTGTCGGGAACTGAGTTCCCGCCACCTCGGCGAGCCCGCGATGCGATCTAGGAAGGCGGCCCCGTCGCTATCCCCAGGGAGAAGAGACCAGAGCCATAGGGCCCCGGAGTGAACCCAGGGACCTAGGGATCCAAGTGGGAACTGGGCAGGGATGGTTAGAGAAGGCAGAACTGCTTGAATGCACGGCCCGGGTTTCTGGAACTTTCTGTGATCTGAGGTCATCAGCAAGGAGTGACTTGGGCATTCTCTCCTTTCTTGAAAGCCCAAGTCGCACTTGTCCTGGCCGGAACTGGAGAAAGGAAGGATGGCAGTCACACAGCTCATTCATTGCGCCCTGGCTCTGCCCCTGCTGGGCTGTCTGTGCGCAGGTCTGACAGGTAAGTTCCTGGATCTGACTCGGGGAGGGGGACACAGGGATTCTATGTCCGGAAGGACAAAGGCTGGGGGCTTCATTGGAGGACTTCTCTGTCTTGCTCACGCCCCTCTCCCACCCTTCCCTCCCCCCACTCCCCTGGCCTCTTTGGAGAGAATCCAGGTCCTTGGCACCTTCCTCACGCAGCCTCGCCGCCCACAGCCTTCCCCGCCCAAAGCCAGCTGAGGACCTGAAAAGTGACAGGAAATTTTAAAGTGGGGGGGAAGGGGGGGCAGGGGCTAGAGGAAATGTACAGACAAGACAGCAAACAGGAATTGATAATGAAGGCCCCAGCCCCCCTAAGGTTGGCAGGAAGCATAAATGAGTGATCAGGACCATATGTGATGTGCACACAGCCTGGCATGATTCTGCCAGGAAGACACTACCGACAGTCCCCAAGAAATGCTCTACTCTGCAAGCCATCTTCCCAGCATGCCCTGGGCTCTTTGCCAGCAGATTTATATCACAGGCACCTAGCAGCCCCTTCAACACCCCACCCCCAACAAGCACTTTTTTTGTCTCTTGAGGGAGGATTTCACTCTGACCTAGGCTGGCCTGGACCTCACTGTGAAACCCAAGCTGGCCTTGAACTTGCAATTTACAGCAATCCCTTTCCTTACCTTCTCAAGTGCTAGGATTAAAGGTCTGTGCCACACCTCACACCCACTTGATTTAGGGTTGAACCTCCATACAGCTCATCCCCCTTCCTTGCCCTTCCCCACTCAGAAAGGGCCTTTAATCAACTGGCACTGTGTGTCCCTGGTTGAGAACACACTCTAACAAACCCATTTCTTCTCACCAAGGCAGCCTTAAAGTAGGATGGAGGGCATATCAGTTCCACCAGTTAGGATGCTGGCAGAAGGTCCTGAGTGGGGCATATGGAAGCTTCTGCCTGTGTATCCTGAGGCCCATGTCTCCTGGGGAGACCACATCAGATAGTGCTGTTAATTTAGGCAGAAGTCAGTTCACCTTTCTGTAAAGGGTGGGCTACACCGTATCTGTCCTTGCATCAGATACTCATTTCTTCCTTTGGTGTGACAACAGCAGATGACAACGTGCTAATGAACAAGAGACCGGATTTGACCTCTGTCCTTCTTCCCCAAATTATATCCTGTATCCCAGGATCAGTGCCCATCACCCTTGGCATTCTTCTCCAAGTGATGCCAAAGCTGTGTGTTTCACAGTCAGCAGAGTGTCCTGTGCCACCTGTGGCTTCTGGGTGAACTGGAGGTGGCAGGAAGAGGTCCTGGGGTTTGGGGCCCACTGCTACCTCCTTTGTTGGCCTGTGAATTCTTTAGTTCTTGCGGCCTATAGAGGACAGGTGTGAGATAGGGTAAGGTGGCACATTAGTGGAGGACTAATTTCTGCCACATCTTCCAGGTTAAGGTATAGTTTTAAGCACACTATCTGGGGAGCAAGGATAGCTGTGTCAGACAAAGGTTTTCCCTATTATCTCTGATCCTCCAAGTCATTCATGGACTAGACCACCGTCCCAGTTTCTTTCTGGGGATCTTGTCTGACCACTGAACCTATCCACTAAATGACATAGTAGGAGAGGAGCCCAGCTCGTGATGATCCCCTGAGGCTACATAAACACTGCTATCCCAGGACCAGAAGGCCTCTCCCTCCCAAGGCCCAATACCATGCCAGGAGCCACTTTGAAATGATGCACGTTTCTATGCTGCTCTGTCTCACGGGGTCTGTACTTCATTCTACAATTAAGTACTGCCAATGAACTCTACACAACATCTTTCCCTAACATAGATGCCTCCGTATCATTAGATTGCCGTGGGTCATAGGACCCTAGAGGCAAGTCCAGCCCCACTCATCTCTCACATATTATCTATGGGAACTTTAAACTGTAAGAGCAGAGCTGAACAGTTGTAACAGAGACTATCACCTACAAAACCCTACAATATGTCCACCATTCACAAGAGAATCTAGGGAGTCCCACATCTAGGTTGGAGGGATAATAACCCAGCAAGAATACCTGTACTTGTTCTGAGCTTAAAGGTACCTACTTATTGGAACCTGGTCTCTCCTTCTGGGTCTATCTGAGAAGTGATTCAATTCCAGACAACAGGGTAGAGGAGCCCAGCTTTTTCATGGGATGGTAGCTGTGCTGGGTAGCTTTAGTGTCAACTTGACACACCTGGGTTGAGGGAGCCTCAATCGGGGAATTGCCTCTATTGGACTGGCCTGTGGCCATGTCTGAGGGGCATCTTCTTGATGAGTGATGTGGGAGGGCCCAGCCCACTGTGGGTGGTGCCACCCCTGGGCAGGTGGGCCTGTGTTGCATAAGAAAGCAGGCTGAGCAGGAGCCGAGGGGAGCAAGCCTGTAAGCAGCATTCCTCCATGGCCTGTGCTCCAGCTCCTGCCTCCAGGTTCCTGCCCTGAGTTCCTACCTTGGACTCCCTGATGAACTGTGATCTGGGAGATGTAAGACAAATAAACCCTTTCCTCCCCAAGTTGGTGTAGTGGTCAGAGTGTTTTGTCACAGCAATGAAGAACAAACTAAGACAGTAGCTTTTGGCCTCCTGATCATGCATTCTTGTGTTTACTCTTTAATATTAAAACCCAGCAACATCTGTTTGGCTGACCATCTATTTGCCTGTAGAATCTTTGTGTTCTATCAACTTAGATCCCCTGTACCCCAGGGTCAGGCCTCAGGCTACATCCACCCTAGTAATCACATGGACCACTGTCCAGACCATTGTCCCTCTATGCTGTTGGCTGCTGACCATCCCACCTAGGATCCATTATGTCCTGATTTTTCTGCCTGATGTTTGCTGACATCCCATTTTGGGACTACCATATGCCATCACCACCCCTGGCCTTACCCATGTGTCATCATTGAAATACTGACAAGGCTGGTACCCTTCTTCCTGGGCATTCTTTTTTAAAAAAAAATATTATTTTATGTGTATGAGTATATACCTACATGTATGTAAGTGCACCCATGTCATGCATTGCCTGCGGAGGTCAGAAGAAGGTGTTGGATCTTCTGAAACTGGAATTACAGGCAGTTGTTAGGTGCTGGGATTCGAACGCAGGTCCTTAACCCAGGTTAAGAGCAGCCTGTGCTCTTAACCACTGAGCCAGCTCTCGAGCCCTGTTTCTGGGTTTTCTTTAAATTCTTGGTAAACCAGAGTCCTCCAGGCCTTCTCATGGAACAGAGTGGACTGGACATTTATCTGGATGCCTTCAGCATTACACCTCAGCACATGGGCTTCTCTGAGCCTTTTCATACATGCCCTTCACTACCAGCCTTAGAGGTTTTAGATTTTCTGTTTCATGTAGTTATTGACCAGCCTCTGAGCAGCTTGCTAGACCATTACTCTAGTACATGAACATTATCTAGAATATTCTGACTGTCCACTGACTGCTAAAAGTCCTGTGTGTCCAAGTGGACTGTAAACCCCTGAAAACAGACACTGTTGTCCTAGATCTTACCTCACACATACCCCAGAACTCTGCCTACCATAGCTATAGCCATTGGATGTTTGTCAAAATGCAAGGTGCCCATAAAACAAAAGAAGTACCTGAAGCTTCACTTCATAAACAGAGCCAAATAATAAATAGTTATAACCTAACAGTTTGATAGCTATTTGAGAAAATTATATGTATCCATGGAAAGAAAAGTTTTATTTTATTCTTAGGGATAATTATGTACTAGTGATTCAGTGTGTGTCTTTTGGATACCATACAACTTTCCTGACCCAAAATCAGATTAAACACCTTGTTTCTTATTTCAGACAAATTTTTGTTGGGGAGGGGGAGGCAGTCGCTTGCTTTGTAGCACTGGCTGACCTGAAACTGGCCTGGAATTTGCAATGATCATTCTCTCTCCATCAGCCTCTTAAGTTATGGTGTCTACTGCCACATCTGGCTTCAAACATTCTACTGCAGTATTTGGACTTAGTCACAGCAAAGTTGTAAATACAGATCATAAAAACATCATCCAAAGCCATGGGAGACAGTCTGAATGTTGAAACTACAGATACTTTGAACCAAGAGCAAAATATATACACATCCCCACGGTGTTTTTCACAATGAATTGCTTCCAGAGGCCTTTGAGAACCACAAACGGGGGCTAAAAAGAGGATCAGGGATCTGAAAACTAGTGGAGGATGAGGGATCCCTGGAAAGTATCCAGTGATCTCCTTTGAGAGTGAAGTAGGCCTTCCCACTTTGCTTTCAAGATGTTGTGCTGTCCAAAAGTGAATGGTATTCTCTGGTGGCCCAGAAGTTCAGCTCCATTGGATAGATTCCTTTTGCTCTAGTAAGAGCTCCTGGACACTGGTTCATCCCAGAGCTCAGGGAAACAGAAATGTCCGAATGAAGAACTGAATTTCAGAAGGTCACAAAGTGAGGCAGTGCTTAGTAGCTTAAGAAATCTGTGCACTGAGAGAAAATTTAGGAGGTAATTGATAGGTTAGTGAGCAATGTAACTACTCTTGAAATGAGCTTCTTTCCCTACGTGGGGGAGTGGGGGGAGTAGGGGACAGAGAGACAGAGAGATCAGCCACATATATGAATAATGCATCTGTGTCCTGGTTGATTTGCTATGGATGGGGACAAGGATGACTGGAATTCCCAGCCATCTCCCTTCTCAATATGACTTTCTTTCTGAATTCCTGCAGAAATACTGTCTAGCCTAGTAACCGAATATTTGTTACCCTGGACTTTTTATTGATCTCCAGATCTATGTAATACAAAACAAATAGCAATACTACAACTACCCTAACTTCCAGGGCCCTGATGCTTCCAAGTCTTAGCTGACTATATAAGACATACTGCAGACCTCCTATATTATTACAATGGCTCGGGGTACACAGGGACATTTCATGATACTATCCTCAACACCTCCACTCTAAGCATCCACACACACTGAAAGCTGAGCTGGTGCCGGGTGAATTTTCATCGTCATAACTTAACAGCATCTTACATTCCTCTCACTGCCATTGTTCCTGCTGATAATCTCAATCTAATTATTTATAAAATAGACTAATATTAGAAATATGACTTCCTAGAGATGGAGAGATGGCTCAGAGGTTAAGAACACTTGCTGTATTTCCAGAGGACCCAGGTTTGAGTCCCAGCATCCACATAGCTAACAATACTAGCAACAGTCTATAACTCCAGTTCCAGGGGATCTGACACCCTTTTCTGGCCCCTGAAGGCTTTGCACAACACAGGTGCACTTACACACATGCAGGCAAAACACTCATACACATAAAATAAAAAATAAATAAAATATTTTTTAAAAATATGACTTCCTAAGAAAATATGGAATATGTTATGAAAATGATGTTTTCCTTAATAATTTGGGTGTATGAATGCTTAATTTTTTAAAAAATTTTATTGAATTTTTATGTATTTCATACATAAAATCATCTTTATACCCCCTTCCCCTTTGGCACCCTCCCACAGCACCCCCACTGGAGTTCATACATTCTGTCATTTGTATTAGGGCCTATTATATAAAGTTAGTGTCCCGAGATGTCCCTCAGTACAAGTTCATCCACCCAGGTTTAATCAGCCTATTTAGAGTCTCTTCAAGAAGATCTGCTCTTCCTCACCCAGCAGTAATCAGCTGCCAATAATTCAACTAAGATTGGGGCCTGCTGTTCATTTCCATAGTTCTGTGCCGGGTTTTTATCTAAGTTTGCATGGGTCTTGTGCATGCCGACACCATTGCTGTAGGTTTGTATGAGAAGGGTCCCAGGCACCTGTAGGACTATTTCCGTATGGTCATGCACCTCCTCCCTGACTCTTACAGTCTTTCTGCCCCCATCTTCCACAACGGTCCCTGAGCCCTGGGTGGACGGACTTCAATATAGGAGTCCTGCCCAAGGACTCACACTCTGCCGACTCTTATTCTCTGCATTTTGACCATTTGTGGCCTTTTTTGTTCCTGGCCCTCTGTTGCATGAGGGAGCTTCATTGATGAGAATTGAAAGAAGCATTAGTGTTCTCTTCATCCCTTGTTCTATGTTCTGTGAGTCTTAGGTGTAGAAGTTGCATCTTAACTGTGCCACTTAGGCTTGGGCAATTCACAGAGAATCTCTGTGTATGACCACTGGTGTAACTCTGTAATAATTTCTGTCTGTTGAAAAAGAAGCTATTTTAATGGGTTGTGACTGGGATACTTGTCTGTAAATTTAAGGATCCATAGTTTGCACGTAGTAAGAAATTACATTTGTCTAGGGATATGAGAGCCTTGGGTTTTCTCTAAGATCTCCAGCTGTGTGTATTTGGCTAGGTTTACAGTACCAGACATAAGTTTCCTCCCATTGAGTGGGGTTTAAGTCCAGTTAGGTAGCTGTTGATTACCCCCAAGATAAAAGCACGACTGCTGTACCAATATCATTTGCTGTGCTGGTCAGTGATGTGGTTTTTAGGCCTTGAAACTAGGTTGGACCATTGATTGATGTTCTCCCTTAACAGCTTATGTAGTACTCTCCAAAGCTGTGAGAGCTAGCCTTCAGGGAGGTGGCTTTCAGGTCAGTTCCAGCTCCATTGCTCCAAATCCTGTGTCCTGTCTTCAGCAATAGGGTCTTACTGTCAAGTTCTGAGAGACAATCAAGGACTGTGGCAATTTTGGGAGTCTCTTGGACTACCCTGGCCAACAACATCTTGTCCCACAACTGTGTCCCAATATATGTAATCTATTCAGCATGTGTGAAATAAAGGCTGCTTCCAATTAGCTACTTCTGCAAGATACCAAAATGTTGCAAAAAAAAACATATTTGTAAAAGCATCAGTGTAATTTTCAACAGAGCTTTGTAGCATAATTTCCCAGATGCAGAACTACAACACAATTTAAGTTTAACATTCCATATGATTACGCTAACTAAAAATAATGTAGTATAGACCAAACTTTGGCAAAAGATGATGAAAAATTTACTGATTGTAAAAATTAAAACAGATATCTCATCAGGAGGATGGGGTAAGGGTATGATTTACTTGGGGAGGATTCCAGAGATCCAGTGCCCAATTCTGAGGTCCCCAGGTAGGAGCCAGACTAGGTACTATGTCCACAGGTGGCACTGGTGGAAGCTCCCCCATATGCCAAGTTCCAGCATTCCTCCAGAAAGCCTCTCCTGAGCACCCAGGACCCATGAGGAATTTGCCATATGTCCTATGATGCCTCCTTTTCCTTTCTCTCCAATATACTCTCCATTAGCTAGATTCAAGTCCCAGCAGCACAGATACTATCTAGTATATTTTATATGAAAATACTTGGTAAAAGTCACTGGAAGTACTTGTCAGGTGAATCATCCTGGTGACACTGTATCTGAGGGGCCCATGGTAGTCTAATAGGATCTTACCAATCTAAGACAGTTACAAGTGGCATAGGACTGAGGATCCAGGAGATAATGGATTCCTGGGATGGAGGCTTCTCCCTCTGCCAGTCTGGCCCTTCAGAGAGAGTCTAGAGTCTACAGAACGTGAGTCTTACAGCCCCCTTCTCCCTGTCCTGACCCTCAACTGCATGTGTCTCTCACAGATGGGCACACTCTTCGCTTCAACCTCACTGTCAAGTCTCGGACTGCACCTGGACAACATTGGTGTGAAGTGCAGTGCTCAGTGGACGAAGTGCCTTTCCTTCAGTATGATAATGACAACCAGGCCAAGCTTTGGAGTAGCTGGGAAAAGAAAGTAACTGAGACCGAAGCATGGAAATATTTTATCAATGACCTGAAAGAAATAGGGGAAATTATCAGGAAGGAGCTACTTAACAGCACAGCCAAGGGTAAGTGTGGGATGGAAGGCAGAGATGAACGTACCCAGGAGAAATAGGATGGCCAGAGCACAAGTAGAAAGGGGCTATGGGTGTATTTGTGCAAAAGAGCGGAGCACTGGCCCAATCTTGGGAGTACATGGTATCTAGTGGGTAAGAAATGGCAGGACAGTGAGGAAAGAATGCTGGTACCCAAGTCTGTGAAGGAAGACTTGACCTTTTAGGGTGTGAAAGGTCCATCAAAACTCAAGATGATTGTTTTGTATGTGGTTTATAGGTTATCCCACCTTGCTGACCATAATGTTTTATCAAAGAGGAAAATCTGACACTACCTGCTGGATATTCAGCATCAGTGGACAGTATCTGTTTAGCTTTTGCTTAGTGAACATGACCTGGACAGTACTTAATCCTGAAGCCAAAGGCATGATGGAGATATGGGAGAAAGACAAGGAACTAGAAAAAAAGCTGAGAATCACCTCCGAGGGAGATTTTCCCAAGTATCTCAACGAATTCTTAAAATATGGTAAGGAAATGCCAGGTAGGTAGTGGTTAACTGTGTTACCAAAACGTAACCTCAGCAGGGTGGGAAAGGTCCAATGACTTCCCAGGGTGGATGTTACCGTGTGTACATGATGGTAAATTTGATAGACTGAGAGAGGATTTCTTGGTGGTCTCCCTATCTGGAGAGCCAGTGATGACCTCAAGGATTTCTCGCCGTCTTCTTTCCCATCCCACTTCCTAATGATTCTTATTCCCCATTAACCAATGGTATGGGGACTTAATCATCTCCTCATGGGTTCCCAAGTCTATATGCATCCCATAAACTAACAGCCTTTTCTTCTTGGTTGTAGTTGCCTTTCTACCAGCTTCAATTTTTCTCTTTTTTTGGGGGGGGGGCGGCGTCCTTTTTAAGACAGGGTCTCCCTGTAGCCCCAGCTGGCTTAGAATTCACTATGTAGATCAGGCTGGCCACCATCTCACAGAGATCTGCCTGACTCTGCCTCCCTGGTGCTGGACTTCAAGTTGTATGCCACCATGCCTGGCTTTCAATGTTATTTTTAAAGGTTTCACTACCTGTTCCTGAAAAAATGAAATGGCATCAATTGTTCCAGCCTCTAGGTAGTTCTAACCATATTAAATATGTCACATTACATGATAGTGGATAGAAATTTGCTTCCCTTGTTAGTGAAATGGATCCACAAGGACATGGTACATAAAACTCATTTTCATCTCTCTGCCCATGACATGGTAAAATAGTTACCACACCTAAGTCCCATGGGCTACCAGGTAGGAGAAGATGCCAATGAAGGTATATTTTTATCTTTATCCAGGATTTTTTGTTTTGTTTCATTTTTAGGACCAAGATTAGAGACCCAAGATCCCACCCAGCTTTCATCCACCACCCAGCTTCCATCCACCACCCAGCGTCCACATATGGATATCATCATCGTGATCATGATCACAATCATTACAATCATCCTTGGGATGCCATAGTCATTGGGATCATTGTGAAGAAATTCTGCAGGAGGTGAGGAACAGGCTGGGTTCTGCTTCTTGATGTGATCCTAGCCTGGTGAGAATTTAGGAGATGTGTCCCACTGGTCTCACCCCAATGGAGGTCCACTATACTGGCTATCCTTCCAATGGAATGATGCCCCTTCTCAGTCTTTTTAAAATTATTTTATTTATTTATTTGTGTGTGTGTGTGTGAGAGAGAGAGAGAGAGAGTGTGTGTGTGTATTGCCTGCATGTATGTAAGTGCACCTGTGTTGTGCAATGCCAGCTGAGGTAGAGGGTGTCGGATTCCACTGGAACTGGAGTCACAGATGGTTGTTAGCCACCATGTGGGAATTGAACCTGGGTCCTCTGCAGGAACAGTCAGTACTTTTAACCGCTGAACTATCTCTCCAGCCCCCCTTCTCAATCTTGAGCTCCCTCACCTCACAGAAGGATTGGGGGTGACTGGTGTTGGGGTACAGGAGGTCAACTTAAGCAGCATAACTGTGCGATCATAGAAGGAATGAGACAGGAGAGTCCTCCTCCCAAGACTCTGATTAACAGCTGTCTGCTCTCTGAGTATAACATGATCTAGCTCAATATTTCTCTTTATCACCTGTTGTTTCCGCTCCTGACCATGAGAAACAACATAGTTAGAACATCTGTTGATTGCAAACTGATCTTATTTTTGTCTTTATGTTTTGTTTTATTTTTAATTATGTGTGTGTGGTGTCTGTGCACACATGTGTGGTTGTATGTACCTGTGGGCACACATGGGGAATCCAGAGGATGTCTGGTCCTCTGCTCACCATCTTATTCCCAAGTCAAGGTCTCTCATTGTACCTGGAGCACAACTGGCAGCCAACAGGTCCAGCGATCCTCCTGCCCATGCCTCCCACAGCCCTGGGGTCCAGGCATATACAGCCATGTCCAGCTTTTATCACGGCTGTTGGAGCTGCAAACTCAGGCCTCATGCTTGAGCATCTAGTGCTCTTACCCACCAACCCATCTTCTCAGCCCTAAAAATTGACCTTTGTTGTCAGTCTGGCTGCCAGTCCCACAGTACATTAGCTTCTGCTCAGACACCAAGAATGTCCAAGAACTGCCTGAAACAAGCTTCAGGTGCCACCCTTGTACGAGCTCCTATGACAGCCCTTCCAGGACCCTTACCATGTGTCCGCTTTAGTCGTTCTGAATAATTTGTAAAAGGCATTGGTCATAAGCAGTTAGGATTGCAAATTTTCATCATTCTCTCACAATTCCTTCTATGATATATACAATTGGAGTAGCCATTGACATTTTTATTTAAGGGAAAAGTGAGTTAGGAATACATTTATTTTGGTTTAATGTGATTTATTTCTGTGATCACAGTGTTTTCTGTGCAGTTGATACTGATGGGCAGAAACCACAAATATACTATGTTAACTCACCAAATACCATGACACAAAATGACAGATTGAAGTGACATGTGACTTAACAGATTTATTTGCTGGGCACCTGCACAGTAGAAAGGATGAAATGTGAAAGATCTGTAATAGAGACGAATAAAGTAGCACCTCAAGTTCAGAGCCACTCCAGGCCCTCACCTAGAGGCTGCTTGTCGCCCTCAGCGCAGCCAGTGAGGTAAGAGGAAGCTATGCAATCCTCTTTCCCATGGTTTGTCCCGAACATTGGGGTTACTCTGTAAAGTTCTCATATTTTGAACCTCTTAATGTCACAACAGACCGTAAGGATCTGAAAGAGGTCCTGGTGCACTACGCACAGGACGTGACTACGGATAAGAATAACGTTACACGGCTTTGCTCAGTAGAGAGGAGCGATCAGTAGACTTCCAAGTTATTTATTAAACTTCCAAGATGTTTATTAAACTTACTTCTTAATTTAGTTTATAAAATTTCTCAAGTGTTTCAAGTTCAGTTTTCTTTACCTAAAGATACAGACCTGTAACAGGAGTGAGCATTTACGGGAGAAAGTATATTACACTTTTCAGAATTTAATCTTTTGGAACTTTGATTTCATGTCTGTCAGGAGCCATTTTAAGACCTGTAACTCTGCTCCTTACTTTTTTGAATTATCAATATATTTTATTTAACCACCTATATCTAAAATGTGACCAGTATGTAATCAATATAAAAAATGAATGGGGGTGCTGGAGAGATCACTTAGCAGTTAAGAACACTGTTGACTGTTCTTGCAGAAGACCCAGGTTCAAATCCCAGCACCCACATGGCAGCTAACAACTGTCCATAACTTCAGTTCCAGGGGATCCGACAGCCTCTTCTGTCCTCCACGGGCATTTCACAACATGGGTGCACTTACCTACATGCAGGCAATACACACATACACATAAAATAAAAATAAAAAAGAAAATTTTTTTTAAAAAATGAACAGGATAGTTTACATTCTTTTTCCTATTACATCTCTAGATTATGACATATCTTTTACACTTTAAATTTTTTATTACACTTATTGTGTGTATACACATGATATACTCATATGTACATGAGTACACACATGTTATAGCACATGAGCGGAAATCAGAGATTTATATTTCTTTGAGAATTTCATATATTTATTTATACAATTAATTTTGATCATATCCATCCCACACTCCTGCCCTCTAATTTTCCACAAGTTCCCCCACCAAAATGTCCCCATTCTAAATTTATAACCTCTTCATTTTTTTTTATGACACACTGAATTCAGTCAGTGCTGCCCACATGTGCACATGGGTGCGGACTATCCACTGAAGCATGGGCAACTTGCCAGTGGCCACACCCCAGAAGAAAAGCGACTCTCAGTCTCCAGCAGCCATCAAACTCCAATAGCTCCTCAGCTCAGCTCAATAGGGGCCTGCTGAGCCCCTCCCTATCCGTGCCGCAGTTTTGCCTGGCTTGATCTTGTGCGGGTAACTACAGCTGTCCACTCATGAGTACTGTGGTCCTGTCATGTCCAGAAGATGACATTTCATACCACTCCTCCCATCCTCCTGCTCTTAAATCTTTTCCCTTCCCTCTTCCAAAATGCTTCTTAAGCCTGGGATGGTGGTGGCTAACATAGATGTTCCATTTAGGGCTGAGTACTCACAGTCACAATTTCTCAACACTATGACCAGTTATGAGTCTTGCATTAACCTCTGGACACTACAAACAAGAAGCCTTTCTGATCAAGGTAGAGAGCAGCAAAAATCTGTGATCATAAACATAAATATTTAGAAGGTAATTTAACAACATGGACATTTTCAAAGCAAGGAGGGTAAGTTCCCCCTAGGGCCTGTGACCTGCCGAGACATAGGTTTATGTAGGTTTACGGTACCAGGCATGAATTCCATACTGTGAATCAGGCCTCAAATCAATCAAAAAGCAACTTGCTACACCTGTAGCAGTCTTGCTGTTTCTTGCTTTTATGTTTCCATGCAGTGACTAGATACTGTAGCCAAAATGCTGTATTGTATTTTAAAGTTTCAAGTTTGGGCCCATCTGGTGGCACAAGCCTTTAATCCCAGCAATCTAGAGGCAGAGGCAGGTAGATCTCTGTGAGATCAATGACAGCCTGGCCTACATAGTGAGTTCTGGCCAGCTAGGGCTACAGGGAGATGCTGTCTCAAAAAAAAAAAAATTACAAGAGTGAGGCCAGTAAGATTGGCTCAGTAGGTAAAGGCACTTGCAAGGCAAGCCTGGCAATCTAAATTCTATCCCCAAGACACATTGTAGAAGGAGACAACTGAGTCCCAAAAGTTGGTTGCACTGTGCTACAAGCTTACAGGTGAATATGCAGGTGCATGAACACCTGCACACAATAAATAGATGATGATAGATGATAGATTATGATCGATAGATAGATGATAGATAGATAGATAGATAGATAGATAGATAGATGATAGATTGATAGATAGATGATAGATAGATAGATAGATAGATAGATAGATGATAGATAGATGATAGATAGATAAATTTGGAATAAACCTTCTGAGATTCCCTCTAGTAAAAATTGTATGTCTTTGTGTGATAAGGCATGCTGGTCACATACATACACTGACATCTAATTCACACATCACAAAATACATCCCCAAGTGTAACATTTGTTGACTTTGATGACTTTTACTGTAATCAAAAAATTGAGCAAATATCCCTACTATCCAGTTGTGGAAGCTTTTCATCAGCCTCCCCTTGAAAAAAAAGCATACCTATTAATGACTGCACATCACTCAACTCTGTTCCTAGCCTGTAGCAATAATTGGTCTAAATAGACCTATTACATGACCCAGTTATGTCATTCCTGGATATATACTTGAACCATGTAAAGTCAACATTCGCACACACACATACACAATATTAATAAATTTGTTTTAAAAAAAGAAAAAAAAAGGCTTTTAATATGGTAGCAGATGGGTGTAGGAACACATTCCTGTAATCCCAACACTTGGGAGATTGGAGGCAAGAGGACTGAGAATTCAAGGTCACCCTTGATGATGTAATGAGCTTGAGACCAGCATGATCTACATTAGACCCTGCCTCAGAACAACAAAATAATAAGAATAATTCTGCCATGGATTTGTGGACAGATAAAAAACTTGCTGAATGACAATACCAAATCCTATGCCTGTGGCAAACTCTGTGCATTAGTCACTATAAGCTTAGGCTAGTCTTTAAGACACAATGGAATGATCAAAGACAATTTTAGGAGCTAGTGTAGTGATACATGCCTGTACTCCCAGCCCTCAGGAGGCTGGAGCTGAAGAATCACTAAGTTCTGCATAGTGAGATCCTGTCGAAAAGACACAACCACAAAACCCCTAATTTACTTTGGTAACAACTTTGCTGCGCTTCAGTGAGTGTGGAACTGTGAGTCAAATAGTTTTGTCCTTTGAAACTGAAATCACCTGTTTTGCCAGTAACATGAACAGTGTCCTCAACGTCCTTCTTAGCTTTTTTTATTTTTTCCCCATTTACAGTCTAGACTGAGAACACAGGATCAAGAAGAACATGCCAAGATTCTAATTTTTTGTTATGGTCTAAAACAATGTGCCTATGCATGGGGTGGTTAAAGAGATCTGCATCTATTATTAGTTAAAATAGTCATCTTTTGCCTCTTTTTAAGTCATTTTAATTTTTAAAAGAAAGATTTGTTTTTGTTTATGTGTATGTGTGTTTGTCAGCCACATGTGTATGTACCCACAGATGCCAGAAGAGGGTGTCAGATCCCTGGAGCTGGAGTTAAAGGCATTTGTGAGCTTTCTGATGAGGGATCTAGGAATGGAACTCAGATTCTCTAGAAAAGCAGTATGCGTGCTTAACAGCTGGGCCATCTCTCCAATTCGCAGTGAAATTATTTTGAAATAAGATTTTTAGTACATAAAAGTTTAAAATCTGCCAGTATGGTTGCTCATACCTACATTTCCAGCACTTGGGAAGCTGAGGCAGGAGGATTGCCACAAGCTTGATGCCATTTTGGTTTACACACTAGATATCAGCCCAGCTTGAACTATAGAGCAAAGCCCTGTCCCCAAAAATCAAAAATGTTGGAACTGGAGAGATGACTTAAAGGTTAAGAGCACATACTGTTCTTGCAAAAGACCTGAGTTCGGTTTCCAAAACCAATGTTGAGCAGCTCACAATAGTCGGTAACTCCAGTTCGAGGTGGATCCAGCACATCTGGCCTCTGTAGGCACCTGCACTCGTGTGCACACCCTCACCCCATACACATAACTAAAATAAAAATCAATTTTAAAACAAATATAAAATCAAAAGGCCAGAAAATCCAGAAATACAGACATTTTTTGGCTGGGCTTCACATTTATTGATATATTTCCAGTTTCCTTTTCAGTGTGTTTCACAACCTCAATCGTCTGAAGTCATAGTATACCAGTGCTTAGTGGTAGAAAGGTCTAGAATAGATACATGAAAAAGAAACACTATGACACTGAGTTCCATGCCCCATATGGGTGGGAGAAATGTCAGGAGCCCACTGTAATGATGTCCTTTTTCTCAATAGATGGTTCTCATACTGCTGCTGCTGCTCCGCCTCCTCATCTGAGAACCGCCCTCCATCATCATTAACTGGGTCTGAAAACTCTCTAGAACACTCAGTCTTTTCGCCATCAACTTTGATGGAGCAAAAATGCATCTGATGTCATCTTGAAAAGCTATGCCATTTAACTTCTGATCAAAGCGTAAAATAGTGAAACTGATGGTTTCCAGAGCCTCCTTCATCAGGACATCAAGGTGAAACTTGCCATCAATGACTCTATCTCACCTTGTTTCCTTTCCCTTTCGCTCTTATACTCTAGCTTTGTGATGGTCATGTTGTGCCCTGCTCATTGTGTAAAACAGTGGCTTTCAGACTGTGCCTTGACCTGGGTGATTCCATTTTTCAAGCAGCAGTTGGTGCCCTTCTGAATGGAGATACAGAGGCAGGCTGACATGGCATCTCGCTGTGCACATAAGATACATACCTGCCCCAGACCATTTGTGAGACACAGGTTAATAAACTTATTCCTAAAAGTACAATAATATCACCTATAAACCTATCAAGATAGATTGGAACAAATGAGCAGGTGTGTATATAAAAACTATCAGAGAGACAGGCCTGAGAACTTAGATCTAATATTCAAACCAGAGAAGGATGCAACACCCTCAGGTAGATACCATAAAAGAGATTGCCTAATGCTGCAATAGTGATGGCTCCACTAACCGGCCATCTGACCACCCAGTGTGTGTTAAGGGGCCAACAGATAGAGAACTCTGCACCTACTCTGGGGCTTCAGCTCTGTCTCCACTGCTAATACAGCCTACCTGAATTTTAGACTGTCCATGAATCCATTGATGCATCTTCTCCCAGTCCCACACCTCCTCTTCCTGATCCTGTGGTCCTGCAGTTCACCTCTACAGTTCCACTCAGCCCTGTAACCCTGCAGCTCTCTAGCCAGCTTCCTTAATACCTAGCCAAGCACCTGCACTGACTCTCTGCATCTGTTTCAGCTCTCTACTTCAGCCTCCACTAAGGGCTCTTTGTATTCTACTACTGATTCTTTCACTCTTTTCTACTCATTCTGCAACCTACTTATATATAAGTGTAATTACTGTGTGATATATAATGTGTGATCTGAGAGTTAATATTGGTATCTAAGACTCTATCTCGCCGGCTATCAGTATCTAAGACTCTGTCTCGCCGGCTATCAAAGCTAATTGGGACTCCTTGGAAAATTAGAGCCAGTGAAACCGACAAACCTTGTGAATTCATTGTTACTCAACAAATTCTGATGTTCTAGAAAGACACGAATGTGTCCAGCTGTGTTTCTGGCATAGCACACTCACAGCCGGACTCCATTCCTTAAAGGAACAGACCACTGGCAAAGTAATTGGAAACATACAAAATTTTGTCAAATTAAGTCATATGGTGATATAAATAAAATTCAACACCCCTATCTACCCAAAACTCAAAACTAAGAGACTAATGACCTGAGGCTAGCCCACACCACAGTATAATCTCATACTACTCAGGGTGGCACCTGACTCAGGTGCCAGCAGAAGAGGAGGCTCTAATCCATGCAGAACACAGGGCAAAAGTAGGAGGGCTGCGAAAGCACATTGCCTGTACTGTGAAGGGTCTCCATTCACAAGAAACTGGTTAATGAACATAAATCGTAAAACAGAAAAAAAGGAAGCAAACAAACCTCAGGTCACACATCTATGGTTATTAGTATATATAGTGAACTATAGAATTATAGTAAGAAATTATTTGAGTGGGATAAAGAAAACTAGGGAAAATGTTAGGTAAGGTAAGAAAGTAACAGACTAAAAAAAAAAAAAATACATCCTAAAATGGTGCTGATCTCTAGGGATTGGTGGCATACAGAGCAAGAAGTTAGAAAAAAGATAAAGATAAAAGAAGTTAGAACAGTACCATACAGAGCAAGAAGTTAGAAAAAAGATAAAGCAACAGGCCCAGAAGATATTGTCATACCAAGACCCACAAGGAGGTCAGGGCACAGGGGTGAAGTTTATGTTTACCAGACCAGAAATGACATAAATGTTTCCATAAAGAATGGGGGATGAGAAGATAGCTCATGTCAGTAAACTGCTTGCCACACAAGCGTGAGGATCTGAGTTGAATCCACAGAACTTATGTAAAAATAAATAAATAAAAGCCAGGAATGGTGGTGCACATGTTTAGTCCCAGCACTCAGGAGGCAGAGGCAGGCAGTTCTCTGTGAGTTCAAGGCCAGCATGGTCTACATAGCACGTTTCAGGCCAGCTGAGTCTACAGGGAGACCCTGTCTCAAAAAGACCAAAAAGTGACACATGCCTATAATCCCAGAACAGGGAAGAGAGAGACAGGTACCTCCCTGTGGCTTCCTGACCACCCAGCCTAGTTGAATTGATGAGTTCCAGGTCAGTGAAAGGCCATTTCAAAAACAATGTGGATGGCATCCCGAGGAATGACACCCAAGATCGATGCCGGGTCTCCACATATACGTGCACACAAAGGAACATACACTGTGGACAAAAACACAGCAAGTGAATTTTCAAGAGACATCTGACCCCTGAAAGGGATTGAGTCTTTTTATAGTAGTTATGAGGTATTACTTGACCTCATCTTGGAGGCCTTTTTTATAGGGTCATATTTGAATACATAAGAGGTGGGCAGTTTTTTCTTGGGTAGTAAGTTTCATAACAATGATCATTTGGGTTCAATAGGAGTTACACTTTGTATAGGACATCATGAGTAAGTGGGTCAGGCTCTAAGCAGTTAGGGTCTGATTACTGAGGCGAGGGGAGTACTTTTTATTTTTTGACCTTTTTTGTCTCTGCCTTTATGTCCTGATAGATCAGCAAGGTCAAGACCTTGACAAACAACGAAACTCTAGTCGCTTCTAGAATTGCTTCATTGCTGAGAAGGGGCATTGGAAGGCATTGGTATTGTTGATCTGTCATAGGATAACAAGACCATAAGACTTAAAGGACCGAGCCACATTTTGGAGAGAGGAGGGGGTGGTTATTGCAGAAAGTTGAAGACCAGACTATGACTTCACTTGAAGTCTAGAGGTCTACAGTGGTGGGAAATAGGTGTTAGTGGAGATGATAATGATTGATATACTTGAGACAATACTGTCTGGTTCTTAATGGCTTCTAATCTGGAAAGTATACATCATACCAGAAGGTTTAGTAAGCAGAAGCTAAAGATGCAGAGCAAAATGAAAACAGGAAAGAGGCTGTGAGCAGCAGTAAAGAATACAAAATCTTACTGGTTAAAGTGACACCATAGGGCGATTTCAGGAAGATAGTAAAAAAAATATAACAATTATTTTGAGGGTACGAAGGAATCCAGGCCTAGTACAGGAGCCCAGCAATGTTGGGTAAAGAGTCAAGGCAGGGGTTTTAACTCCATGTAAGGTCCTCAGACTGTGGTTTCCTGTTAGAGTCTGAAGGTTGTTTCAAAGTGGGTGCAACCAAAGTTTCACAGAAAGAATTAAGAGAAATCTTCAAGAGTCTCACAGGAATGGGCTGTTTGAGGTTTTGGTTGTGGAGCCCTGTTAACTCTGGACGGATGAACCAAGAGTGGTAGGGCTTGTAATTCGACTGCAGTTGGAGATGTGAGTGGGATTTGATAGGGTCTGGTCCAGAGAGCTTTGAGTGGATTTATATCCTGTGGGAGGATTTTATGATAGACTCGGTATCCCGGATTAATATCAGGAGATGATCCTGAAAACGTGGAGTCGGACTTGAGGATGTAAGTATCCTGGTACTCAGTGACAGCCTTGATTATCTGCCCCAATGATATAACATACGGAGACACATAAAGACTCTCTGCATCTAGTAAGAGGCCTGTGTGGAGGAAGAGCCCACTGTAAAGACCTCAAAGGAGTTGATGTATATTGTAGAGTCGGGAATAATATGGAATTGTAAATGAGGATTAATTAGAATTTGGGGACCTTTTTAAGAGCTTCAGGTCTCCCAGCTGAACCAGGTCAGGATGAGAATCCTGATTGCAGTTGGTAGAATTTGATTTTGAAATATTATTAATTATTTTTCGTTGTACTCCAGCTAGGTGTTTAAGATCTATCGGTGGCCATCAATTAACCTCCGTTGGTTACTGGAGGTTAGGGTTCCGTAGGGGTTGCTATTAGAGACGTTTAAGACTTTTAGGAGCCCTGGGCTCCTTTAGTTTTCCTCTACCAGTGTGCCATCTGGGATGAGTCATGGTCTGGTTGACCATGTGACTTCTCTTGAAAGGACTGAGGAAATTTTTTTCTATAAAATGGTCCTATCCTTTTTAGAAAGGAGGCTGGTTAGAGTTCAAACTCTGGGGCCTCCATGACCTCTCAGGGTAAAGAGGTCAGGTGACTTTCAGAAGCAACAAGACCCTTTTAGAGTTGTCAAATTGTCCTCTGTCCCCTGGGACATGGCTGACCTGTGGGTAAGGGTGAAAACATTACCTGTTAAGCTGGCCCCTTTAGCTTCATTGGTTTTGGCCTCTAATCATGGCTATTGAAAACTCAGGAAGTCAGCTACACCACACTTGAAGAGTGAACAGTGGTTTGAAATCTAGCTGTTCTATAATAGTAAGGGTGACCAGCTCACAGCCCAGGAAACTTATGCACACAGCTCAATACATATTCATAGACTTGTCTAAGATATCATGAGGTGTTGTTGCAATTTGGGGGCGGGGGGGCTCAATTGTGCAGGTGTCTAGCATGAATTTTGTAGTTGACAGTGTGTCACATCATCAGTGATTACACACTCATGATTGATAAAACTGAAAAAAAAAACAGGTTTTTTAAACTCAGTTTTCATTCTGATAAGACTCGATTTTTAACAAGTTAAAGGCCAGAAAAACTCAGTAAAAATTAGATGCAATTATCTTGACAAAACATAAATGTTGTTCTTTAGGCAAGATTTTTATATTTTAACCTACACCATTTTAAGTTAGACAACTCTTATAAACCTTGTGACATACTGTAGCCTTCTGGCTCTGTGCTGATCTCTGTTTTTAACAGTCCTTTACTTAGAGTAAAACTAATTTACCATATAAAATCCTTTCACCCCCTCTTTATTAGAACAGTTTCTATGCCTGTGACATTACATATCTCTCCTTGCTGCTTCCTTTCTGTCTTGCTTTGCTAAAATTCCTAATATAATTTAGATTTTTTTTTCTTAAAGCCATAAAATCTTGGAAACGGGGAACATCTGATCACCATTTGTATTTGACAAAATATACTTAGCAGAATATTATTAAAGTTTAAACTGTTATTGGTTGTTACCTTTTTAGTAAGTAGCTATCTTGTAATATTGTATAATCTCAAGTTAACCTCCTTTTTCCTCACTAATTTAAAATAACTATCATGTTGGATTTGTTTATATCTTATGAATTAAAAGGAATTTGGACTAAGTTATATGTTCTCTTCTTCATTTATAAGCTAATTTGAATTAAACCCTTTTGGGGGGGGGACTTTGTCATATAAACATTCCACAGAACATATATCTAAAGATGGATAAAAAATATATATATCACATAAAGGACATAGGCCAGTAGCTGGACCAACAGACAAAATGATACAAAAGCAATTGCATGCATGAATTAAAATTCCCCTAAGAAGTTGCGCCCACAAAGCCTGATTGACTGAGCAGAAGAACTTGAGCAGTGTGAGAGGTTGGAATGCCACAGATCCAGAGACAAATAATCTTGGGCCAAATTTAATCCCTTTTGAACACACTTATTGTCTACCTCTGTCTGTGGCCTCACATCCTTGTGACCCTTAGATAAATCTTGTGGCATGTAAGAACAGACCTGCTAGATTGGACAAACCCAAAAGCTAAGAATTTTGTCACATTGCATCTGATGTGTATAACAGAGATTTCCCCACTTTGCTGTAAACTCCCCACCTGATGTAACCACCAATGTTTTTGAAAGATGTGTTGATTTATGTCCATCTTTGTTCTGTTACTATAAAAAATTCATGAGATGGCTGCCAACATGAACTCTGTGGTAACCTAAATCTGTGGTCATTATGGTAAACTGGCCATGGTCACTTATGTTTGCCTCCAAGATAAAGTATCTCTTATTTCCTTTATGGTAAGAGCCATATTTCTTGTATTGCCACATGAATACAGTTATAAACACTGTAACAGGAAACTCAAAAAAACATACAACGTGATTACATTTAATCAGAGTTACCCTTAGTAGAAGCACTGGAGAAAATTTATATCTCAAAGACAGAGAGCTGGGCCAGATCCTTGAGCAGGACCCAATGAAGTTGAAAGATCAAAGTGAAGCTTCCTGTGAAGACTTAGGTACAGAAATGAGCTGCTTAGAATGAGCAGGAAGTGTTTTGAGGGAGAGGGGATAGCTTTAATTATTCCCCGAGGTTCATGTACAAAGTTCCAGAGCAAGTGTTAGAGAGAGAAGACATCTGAGGAAGGAGGAGGAGTGTTTGGAGTCAGCTCTCCAGGCTGAGAAAGGACAGAATAGAGAATGGAAGACTGGAGAGATGTTTTTAAGCAGAGGGAGGCTGGGACAGAGAAGGCAGGGTGGAGCAGGGGCTGGGGTAAGAGGATCTGCTGAGGGACACAGGGCATTCCTCTCACAGCTGAGGGTCCTTAACAGGGCCATGAAAGCTCAGATATAAGGATCTCAGAGTCCTTGCCTAAATTACAACAGGAGAGTTTCGTTAGATTATCACTGTAGCTTAATGTGCCATTAGCAAGGCAGAATTCTTGGTCTGGGAATGCATATAAAGGAAAAAATGTTTCAAAAGCTGTGATAGCTCAGTGGGAATACCTTATTGGAACTGTTAGTGAACTTTGACTATAACAGCTGTTTTCGACTTTTATATTAAATCTCTTCAGGGAATATTGAAACACTACATTTCTTGTGCAAAACTAATCCAGAGCTGTGGCATCGCTATGTTGTCTATTCAGAACTTAGTAGAACATGTTTATCACATGAATTGTCATCGATATTTGAGAGCTTGGCTAGAGACTTTTGATGAAAGCTGTAACAGAAGATCTGTGAGGAGATGGTGGAATTCAGAAAGGCTGCAAGTGTTGGTGTTTCCCGAGCATTTTGCAGAAGTACATAAATCTTGAGTGATAGTCCAAAGCCACAGGAGGGCATCCTGGTGTTCTGTGCTGTGTAGAAGTTGCCGCCTTTAAACTGCTTCTTATATGAAAATATTTTGGTTTTGTAGTAATATGAATATCTTTTAGTTATTTTTGTACTTTGAAAGTTATGAAAGAGGATATGAAATTATAGATTTTGGTCTAACCTACAAGTATTGAAAGATCGCTTTATACTGTTTTGAAGGGGTTTAGTTCATATTTTTCTTGAAAAACTGTTGCTGTTACTAAATAAACATGTACTCAGTAAAAAAAAAATTTCAAAAGAAAATAAGTTTCTGCTTTACAAGAGTCTGAACATCAAATTTGGCCATCTTTTGAGACTACCTCCTGGATGAGTTAGCGGGCACAGCAGAGCAAGAGCCATAGTGGGTACTACCAGCAGCGTAACACTGACCCTAAGAGCATCCTTTATGGTGTCAGACCAGTCTCTCCACTCCGACTCACAAGTCATGCCTTCTTTCTGGGCATCCACTAAAGGAGGCCCCTCTCAACCCACCAAAATAAAACCAAACTGAACCTGTCTAATTGGTGAGGCCAGACCAACTCACAAACTAAACTGGGCTCTAAAGGAAAGCATATTCACTGTTCTGGAGAGAACAAAATTCTGATCATCCATAAGTCTCCTGAAGTCTAGCCAGAAAAGAAAATGGCAGGCACAGACATTGTCAGCCAGACATTCTGCTCCCTCCCACTCTAAAGAGTTCCAGAACAGGAAGAGTGGGGGGAAAGAGGAAGAGCCCTCACAGTGTGTGCAGACTTCCCTGGATGAGCTGTCACTCTGCCTGTGCTGTACCTTGAGAGTGAGGGGAACCATCAGAATAAAGGAATTAGTCTTTTACCCTTGAAGAGAAGACCAAAAGGAACTCTTTACAATCTACCCTGACCCACCCTGACCCCTGACAAATGAAGGTAGTCCAGAATTGCAGCTTGGAAACTTTTGGATCTCACTGCAAAGCCTCCCCATCCAGAAATCTTCAGTTGCCCACAGACTACTCCAACAGCCACAACAAGCAATAGAGTGAAGAGAGGCCAAAGGAGGCAAGGGGGCAGGGGTTCCCTAGCAAGATCACCAAACTGTTGAGCCAGAGAATAAGCCCAAGACATGGGGGTAAAAGTATTTACCAGACCAGACATCATCATCCCTTCCAAGGCTCAAGAGATGCCTTGGAAGTGGGAGAAGAAAGGATACAAGGGCAAGAAGGGGCAGGTGATGGGAAATGCTGTATTCTAGCCACGACTTGGCACAGCTGGTGCACTGCTGTACTCTCAGCAGCTCTGAGAACTTGGAGTGGACCTGCACAAGACTGGGTCTGCCAGTGTTCCTTCGTGAAGGGCAAGGGGCTCCTGAGGTGCCACCCCTCCGAGATCTGTCTGCAGTTAATGGAGGAGCGAGAGACAGTTTCTTCAGTAGAGTTGCCACTGGTAAGTTGCCTGTGCTCCTGTAAACAACCCTTCACCCATGCTCTTATAAGTAACCATAGTTTAACTGGGGCGGGGGGGGGAGTGAGAGAGAGAACTAATTGGGAAGAGGAAGAGGGCTGGTCAGAGTGGGAAGGGAACATGAAAGGCAATGGAGGGGTTAATATGACAGAAGTTTATTACATACAAATATGAAAATGTCATGATGAGGGGCTGGAGATATGGTTCAGTGGTTAAAAGCACTTTCTTTTTGCAGAGGACCCAGGTTCAGTTCCCAGCACCCACATGGCAGCTAACGACCATCTGTAACTCCAGTTCCAAGGAATCTGACACCCTCTTCTGACCTCCACAGGCATTGCACGACGCAGGTGCACTTATGTACATGCAGGTAATATGCTGATACACATAAAATAATAAAATATTTTTAAATGTCATAATGAGACTATCATTATGGCTCCTTTCTATTAGATAGCTGTATGGGCATGAGTCACACGGAAAGCACCAGCCAAGTCTCTACATGTATTAACTCTCACTCCTGCCTCTTGCTGGAGAGTCCTAGTGAAGGCAATTAGCTTAGCCATTTAGCCAACAGAATTACCTAGAAAAAGTCTAGATTCTATGATTTCTTTGAGGCTCAGGACATCTTGTCACAAAATCCTGTGGGTTGGGTCACTATATAATGACTTCCAACCTTGAGATCTGGCTATAAGGTTTTAAAGTTTGGCTAAGTTTTATGGTAACCCCTGGAGTGTGCAAGAGAAGAGTCTGGTACCTGATTTTGTTATCTGAGACCCAGTAGATGACTGTGATGATTTGAACAAAAATGTCCCCTGTAAGCTCCAAGTATTGGGACATTTTGTCCCCACACGGTGGCGCTGTTTTGGGAGGTTTTAGAAGGTGTGGTTATCCTGGAGGATCTCGTAGTCACTGGAGGTGGGCTTAGAGAGTTCTTAAGCCTTGCCAGATCTCCAGTTGCTCTTTTGCTTCCTGTGCCTGTGTGATGATATGAGAGCTTAGCTTCTGCTTCTGCTTCAGCCATCTCTGGCCACCATGCCTCCCCGCCATAACAGACTGTAATTCCCCTGGAACCCTAAGCTCAAATAAACTCTTCCTTCTATAAATTGCTTGGGTCAGTGTTTCTATCACAGCAATAGAAAAGTGACTAATACAATGACCCTTCATTTGAGGACTTTAAGGATCTGGTAAGGTGCTTACATTGACTAAAGCTGGTCAGTTCAATAACTGTCTTTGTAGGGCTTAAAGCATCAGATCCCCAGCTGAACCAGGGGAGATAAGCATCCTGTTGGTGACTGGTAGGATTTTATTTTGCAATGTTATTAATTATTTTGTTACACATCTTCTTTCATCTATTTAAGGTCATGTAGGTGCCACATCATCTTTTTGACAAGAACAGTTCAGGTTCCTTAGAGTTATTTTGTAGAACTTGGGAGAGCCCGGTGATTCTGTCAGTTTCCCTTTTTTAGGTGTAGGAGTAAGGGTCCTGCTGCCTCTGTGGTTTCCTTTGGAAGCACTGAAGACCTTCCTCTTTGCAAACTGCATACTGCTTCAAGTCTAACCTCTAGAGTGTCCATAGTCTGTCTGACCAGAGCCATAGAACCCTTTTAGAGGTGTTGCGTTATCCATCCCCTGGTCTACCTGGGACCAAGATGCCCTGGGAGCAAGAGACCAAAATCTTGACTGTTGTCTTGGCCCCACTGTCCTTACTAGTATTAGCCTCCATGTAAGGGCTGCTGAATGCCTAGAAGGCCAGTTATACATTCTTGAAGATCAAATAGTCATTTGAAATTCAGTCATTGAATAACACTTGAAGTTAGAACAAACATAAATTTTAAATAAACCTTGACCCTGGTCAGACCTTGTTTTGGAAGTAGTTAAGCACGTAACAAATTCAGTAGACCATATAATTACCTTGACCAAACATAAGCAAGTTTTAAAATTTTTTATTGTTTTATTGTGTGTGTGTGTGTATGTATGTGTGTGTGTGTGTGTTATGCATGGATTTAAGTGTACCACATGTGTGCAATTAATGCCCATGGAGGGCAGAAGGGGGTGTCAGATTCCCTGGAACTGGAGTTATAGAGGGTTGTTAACTGCCATGTGGGTGCTGGGAACCCAACTCAGGTCTTCTACACAAGTAGCCAATGGTCTTAACTACTGAGACATCTCTCTAGCTTCTTAAGCAAGTTTTTTTTAAAAGCCATATCATGTTTAAGTTAACTTTTACATTCTCATGATATACTTTAACCTTCTATCTTTGTCCTGATCTTTCTCTATTTTAGTTATCCTTTATTTTAGGACAAAACTTATGAAAAAATCTTTTCTTCTTCAAAAGCCAAGTAAGTAGTTGTCCTCTCAAGACCATTGGCACCCACGAGTAAACACACACACACACACACACACACACACACACACACACTAAATAAAACGTAATTTTTCTAAAGACAGTGATGGATGGATGTGGTGGTCCGGAACTCTCTTGTGACCAGGCCTGGGAGGGACATTCATGATGAATGGGCTGCTCTTCTCATTCTGCCTTCAGGGCACTGAGTCTTCCCCTGCTGCCCTGTGGTGGGCGGGGCTGTGGTCTGACACACCTTGTGGTTCCTAGTCTTGTCGCCTGGGTCCTGTGATGCTGCAGGTGCGTCTTGTTGTACACTCTTAAATCTGTAGCTTGTGGCTGCTTGGCCCTCTCAGCAACCCAGAGGGTTAGACTGGGCCCCCAAAATAACCACATTTCCGCTACCATTAACCCTTCCATGGCTTCCCATCAGAAAGAACTATACTCTCTTAAACAGTGAAGCAAAATAAAGAAAATTAAATCCCTCTTCCCTTAAGTTGCTTCTAGTCAGGTATTTTGGTCACAGCCATGAGACCCAAGTAATCCCCTTTAGTCTTATAGATGAGTCTCATAGATTTTCTGCCCAGAACTCTGGGCTGCTGTTAGATTTTCCTGCACGTCCTTCTTGGTCCAGCTCACCCTCTACATCTCTTCCTCTCCAGTATCCTGCAGCCATGGACTGTCACACTTCAGCTTCCTGCCTCCAGGCTTACATTTTCCCATAGTCCTCTGTGTAGAGTATCTGTTTCTCCTGATCATCCTTCCTCACCCTCTTGGGATAAATAAACAGTACTCTCTTGGGTCACATGAACCTTGAATCCACAAAAAGAAAATCTCACTTTATGAACATAATTTGCTCATTTCAAGGAATAAGATCTTTGAGAATATATTTTACTCTTTATCTCTTTTCCTTTTGTTTATTTGCTTGCTTGCCTGATTTTTCAAAACCAAGAACCTAGTGAAGAACTGTGGTTAAACCATTTCTTCATTATATGAGAAAAGCAGACTGAACCACAGATACTTCCCCAGGTAAGGAGGGTCAACACAAGCCACTTACCCAAGTAAGGAGGGTCAGAACAAGCCTCTAGTCCTCAGGCTCTGGGCAGCTGGCAAAGGCCTGTACCATACACCAGAGCTGCCACTGCATCGGGACAGGAACACAAGATGGCTGCAAACTGAGCTCCTTAGGGTCCTAGGAACAGAGGTGGCTCTGGTCTGATTCACCAGCTTCTCTATCCAGGAGAAATAGCTGGAGGCTGGGATGGGGACCAGCAGGAAACACAGGGATGGGCAGCTCTCAGATGTGAGGGGACTGGGGTTTAGTGGTGTCTACTGTGGGGAAGACACTCCTATGCATAAGGCTGGGGACAGGGGTCTGGGTTCATCCTCTCAGAAACAGCTGGGAATGGGGCAAGATAGAAAGACAGGAAAAACTAGGGACACAGGGAAGGGAATGGACTGTGGTTGGAGCTTCTTGTCTGCTGAAAGTCAGGAATTCTGGCACTATTAACATTTGCTGTAAAAGTCGCAGACATATATATACAATATAGCTACTATTTCTTTTATAGAAAGATATTTTCAAACAAAAATGATAAAATTGCAATGAACTACACTTAAGGCCTGAGCCTAATGACCATCAAGTATGGCCTTACTTTTTTCCCAGATTTTTTTCTGGGAATCTCACAAGCAAGGCCTTTGTTAAGTAAGCACATCTTTTAAAAAATATTCGATTTATTATTTTTATCTTATGTGTGTAAGTGCACCTGTGTGGTGAAATGCCCATGGAGGTCAGAAGAAGGCCTTGGAGTCCCCCTGAAACTGGAGTTATACAGCTGTTAGCTGCCACGTGGGTGCTAGGAATCAAACCCAGGTCCTCTGCAAGAACACTTAGTGTTCTTAATTGTTGAACCATCCCTTCAGTCCAGTAAACACACCTTAACTGCCCCAGTCCCTCTTTTGACCTGGGGCTTTCCTTTATCAGATGAGAGTCCATCCAAGGCACCTCAAGAACCACACTATGAGTTCATTTACCAAAAAAAAAGAAGCTCCTTGGTCACTCTCTGAGATGTAACCTCAGAAACCACAAAAAAATAGCAAAACAGCTACTGTAAAGAACACTTCACTTGGAAGTCTGCTTTAAGAAGATCACACCCACACCTAGGGTTAACATTCTCCCCAAGTGCCTGTCTCTAAGCCATCATACTTAAAATCCTTTCAGTCTGGCTCTTCCTGAAATTCCTTTCTGCAGCCAAGTCAAAAATCTGGTCTAGCTGAGCAGAAGTCTCTAAAGGATGAGGGGACTCTGGAGGCTGCAGTGGGTGGCAGTGGGAAGCAGTGTCTCCCCCAGGCTGACGCTGACAGGGAGGCCTGGCAGCCCAAACCCATGTGGCCTGGTGAAGTGGGCAGGTGCCTGGGAGAACAGGAGGAGGGCAGAACACATTAGAGACCGAGGAAGGATGGCCAGGTGAGAGCAGGATGGGCCTGGGCACACCTGGGCACTCCTGTCCTTCTTCTGGCTGCCACACTCACACCAGCCTCCAAATGCTCACAGACTCAGCTCCAGAGCTGATTTTACTGAGTATGGGCTATTGATGTGACTTTCAGAAATTTAAGCATTTCAGTGCAATTCTGACAGATGGGCCTTGCATTCTGCTTTAAACTTTCCCTAAATCAGTTCTCAGGAGGTAAATACTTAATCTTTCCTCATGAAATGAAACATGCTAAGGGAAACTATGCAAGGTACCCTGGAGCTTTCCTAATTTACTAAGTAGTCTGGCCTTCTGTGACATCACAAGTCTGAGTTTCATTCAAGAGAGCTGGGACCCTGTATTTTGCTGGAAGCCCTCTGAGCCCCCTGGTGATGCAGGAAATCACTGACTGGGGATGAGACGATCACAGAACAGGAGTGCCCACCAGACCCTGAGTCTCCTCAGATGCACAGGAAGGAGATATTTCCCTCTCTCTCATCATCATGCCAGCCTGCAACTCGGGTTTGAAGCTGTTTAAATGGTATTTAAGTGGTGGCTGGATGGATGCAGGAATGCATGGGTGGGTGCCACACTGTGATAGTCACTGAAGAGGACACCTTAAGAAAAGGAGAGATGTCTCAGTGGTTAAGAACACTGGTTGTTCATGCAGAAGACCCGGGTTCGAATCCCAGCACCCACGTGGCAACTAACAACTGTCCGTAACTCCAGTCCCAGGAGATCTGACAGCCTCTTCTGACCTCCGCGGGCATTGCACACAGGCATTGCACGACACGGGTGCACTTCCCTACATGCAGGCAATACACGCATACACATAAAATAAAAAGAAATGAAAAATGAAAAAAAGGAGAAAAGAAAAGGAAGCCTCAGGCTGGGGAGATGGCTCAGGTAGTGAAGAGGTTTCCTTGCAAACATGAGGACCTGAGTTCTAAGCCCACGACCCGAGCTACAAACATGGTGAGTGGTAGGGAGGAGGGGATGGGGAGATAACAGGGTTTCACTCCCTGGCCACCAGCCCAGGGCTTACATTCCAGACCAGGAAGAGGCACCTGAGGAGTGAGAGGAAAGGTTAGTTTAGTTAACCGCTGGCCTCCACAGGCAGGCACACACACACACACACACACACACACACACACACGCACAGGAGTCCACTATAAATTCTAAGATTTGAGAAAAAAAAGAAAAGAAAAAGAGGACCAGTGCGGCCCCTGAGGGTGTTGAAGTGGAGACACAGACTGGGCCACAGGAAGTGGGAGAAAGTGACGCCAGAGGAACCTTGAGAGAAACTGAGGTGCCCCACCCACATCTCCCAGCTCAGCTGTGAGCAGAAAGGAGGATCCTTCCTGTATCTCTCTGACTGCAGCTGGCTTTCTGTCAAGCCTTTGATGCTCAGGGGTCCACCAGAGCCAGGCCACTGAGTTCCGAGAAGGGACAGAGGTGTGGCAATCCCCGGGACAGGGTGCGTCAGAGCCGGGGCTGCTCAGCTCCTTCCTGGTGCCGCCCTGGCAGCAGAAAAGGGAGCCATCGCCATGCCTGGGGAGCCACGGAGGACTCGCGTGATCCCAAAGAGCTCTAGGAAAATATTTGGGAACTAGGATTCCGGAAGGCAGGACAAGGAGGAGCTGCATGGATTCACAGCCCCGGTTTCAGGAACTTCCATAAACTGGGAGAAACTTAGACATTCTCTACTCTCTTCAAAGCTCACCTGTGGCCAGCAGGTCTGGAGAAAGGACCCCATGGCACCGGCTGCAGCCACCAAGTTCACTCCTGGCACCTTAGCTCTGCTCCTTGTGGTGCTGCAGGGCTGTCTGTGTGCAAACCTGGACGGTGAGTTCCAGAACCTGTGGGAAGGAGGTGGGGCAGGGGCGAGGAGGGGGTGGGGGTGGCATCAGGAGGACCTGTCTGATTTGCATCCATCCCTTTCCTCAGCCTTCCAATCGCTGGATCACAGGCTTGTGCCAACGCAGCCAGCTTCCCTTTCCACATGATGCTTTGAACCACCACCCAATTCACCCGCTCTCCCTGCCCTTCCCCACTGTCCCACTCTTGACAGGACTTTAGCCTCTCTTCCACCAGCTGGCACTGCGTGCCCCCGACTGAGGACACATCCTAGCAAATCCAGCCCTTTTTCACCCAGGTAACCTAAAGCAGGAGGGAGGGGCACATAGGGGAGACAGTGGTGCTGAGTGGGGGCACATGGAAGCTTCTGCCTGTGCACCCTGAGCTCATCTAGTCTGACCACTGGGATGCAGCATCAGACAATGGTGTTCCTTCAGGAAGCAGTCAGTTTCTCCTTAAAGGGCAGGCATTAAATATTTTCAGCTTGGCAACCACACCGTGTCTGTTTCAGCATAAAACACTCAGTTCTCCCTTTACTGTGACAGCATCAGAAGACCAAAACAAACAAACAAACAAAAAAAGGAATGGGGAAGAGTTTGGTCTGTGTCTAGTCTACTGACCCCCTTTAGGGGATCGCTGTACTCCAGTATTGGCATCGTCACCCTTGGCAACTTCCCCAAGTGATGACAGAGCTGCATGTTGCACAGTCAGCTGGGCGTCTTGCCCTGCCTGTGGCTTCTGGGTGAACTCGGTGACAGGAGGAGATCCTGGGGTTTG